AAGAAGGAGACTAGTGAAGGAGGCCACAGAGACATCTATGTGCACGAGATCTGTGGTCATCAGACTGGTGGTGGCAGCATCATGATGTGAAGCACGGTGGTGGCAGCATCATGCTCAGAGGATTCTCTCTTTCAAATCAAACTGAAAACAGGTTTCTACAAAGTAATGTCACTTGAATATAAACATAAAATGTAAAATAAATAACTGCACAAGTATCTACTGTCCTTCTAGTCGCTGTTTAGTAGATGGTCTCCGTTCTCTAGCAGACTGCATCAGGTTGTCCTCCAGGATTTCCGGACACCTTGGTGGATTAAGTTTACCCTCAACCATTACAAGCCTTCCTCACGTCATGATGCTGCCACCGCCGTGCTCCACAGTGAGCTCGGTGTGTTTGTGATGATCTGCCGTGTTTGGTGTCTCATGGCCAAATTAAATTCCAGAAGTTTTAGTAAATCCTCGAACAAAAATTAAGTTGACCATGATTCAGTGTTCTTATCAATTGAAGCTTTAATAAATAGATAATGAACATATATATATATGAGACTACATGTTTTATTTTAGGTGTATTTTTTTTTTTAAAAACAGTCTTAAGGAGTTAATATTTCTTTCAATTTCTGACAAAAGTTTGAGGCTCAGATTTCCTACATAGAAACGTGTGATGGAAGATAAGATCAGTTTTTTAACCTACTCTGTATTTGTTTGTAAATTTTGAAAGCAACAGATGAGGTTAATCATAAACAGCCTCAGATTTTAATGTGTGGAAAAATGTCAGATCACCAAATGACGGTAAATAGAATTATCTTTTTTCTTTTGAAAATACAACAGACATCCGTGCTGGCTGAGACGTCAGGCTCATCTTTCATCCTTGAGTTTTTATTCTATCCTTTTATTGGCCTGTTAACGCCGACAACAGCTGGTGAAATGACTGCTGGCAGCGAAACGAAGCATTTTATGGTCACCGTTAAACTCACAGTTAGCTTTAGACCTCTCACCGTGAGTTACGGCTCGGAGTCGGTTAAACTGAGGCAGGTTGAAGCGTCCTTGAACGCAGCGCTGCTGCCTGATCTGTCAGCGGCTCTGTGAAGTGACAAAACGCAGCTGAACGGTGTTTTTGTTAAAAGCAGGTTTCTGTTCTCTGTCCTGCAGCATTTCGACTTCCCGCTGCCCAGCCCTCTGCGGGTGTTTAAGATGGTGGTGGTGCCCCAGCAGGAGTATCCTCTGGTCTGCATCGGCGTGTCCAGAGGCTCCAGCCCGAACCTGCCGGTCATCGTAGAATACATCAACCTCAACTCCAACACGTCCTGGTTCACCAACTCCGGCCTCGGTACGCCCAGTCTGCATCCTGGCATCCACTAGACAGACAGGGAGCTGTAAATAAAAACACTCCTGAACAACAAGAGTGCATTTTTAAAAGGAAAACCTGTTTTCTGCCGATTTATTTTCTTGCTTCATCATATTCTAGTGCAACTCAACAAGTTAGAATATAAGCTCATATTTTTCATAATTTCTTTTTTTAATTACCTTTCATATGTTCTATATTTATCACACGTTTGCATGAGATTAAACGATCAACAGTCTTTGAAACTAAACACTAATTATTATTTTAACACTCAAATATCGTGAAAAAGCTCCAAAAAAATAAAACCCAGCATCGTGGAAAAAGTCTAATTATTTAACAAGTGAAAATTAAATTAAATTCTAGACTCATTCCAGGTGAAGTGAAACATTTCAGGCCTTTATTTGTTTTGATTTTGATGAATATGATTCACAGCTCATGAAAATCAGAAATCCAGTGTCTCAAAATATTAGAATATTTCCAAAGATCAATCAGAAAAGTCGGAAAGAAATGTCCAGCTTCTGACAAGTCTGTCAGTGTAGTCTCTTATGACTCAGTCCAGGCTCCTTTACCGTGAAATTTTAAGATTTTTTTGGAACTGTAGGCCATAATTATCAACGTTTTATTAACTTTATGTGTGATGTGTCTAGAATATAACACATCTTCACTTTCTTAAATAGCCAAAAACTAAACTTTAGATGCAACAGTACGTCAATATATTAGCGACTCGACACCCAATTAATTCAGAAAATCTAAGTAAAGCTTCAAATACGTTGACTAAAGGTGTATTTGGACCCAAACTCTGATGTTTTCTTGAACCTAATCACATAATTTTGGAGCCTAAACTCAACCAAACCTTTGAAAACCTCAGAGGAGAGAAAACACGCTACTTTACAAACATAAATGCTCGTTATTCATATCAGAATGTCATTTTTGGGGGGGGACAAAGTTGGCCACAAACACAATAAAACCATCTGAATTCACAGTAAGCGTTCTGTTTTGTTGATTCTTTTCCTTGTTGTGTTTAATGTTTTCGTTTTGTTTGTTTGTTTTTACAGAGAAACCTTGTCCGGATGTCGTTCAAGTAAACCAGCTGGACAGCAGCTCCCTGCTCGTCCTCATGGAAAGTAAGAAAGTTGAGCTTCTTTTAACTCCACAGAATATTTGTTCACTTCAGTGCGACAACGTCACAGCCTCGAATACCAGAAAACAGAGAAGAGTTGATCTGCTGCACTCGTCATGCTGTCTTCTATCTTCTGTGTTATGATGGTTGTTTTTTTGGTTGTATTTTGCAGCAAAGGAACAAAAAGCTGCAAAAAAATGTGTAATTTTGCAAGAAATGAACGTCGTGGAACAAATGAAAGAACGTCGTTTTGTTTGCATCTGGAATACGTGTTTGTTGATGTTCAACAAGTTAACCAAATATTTTAAGGGTTTCTGATTGTTTAAAACAACAGTAAATGTGCACAATGTGGACTCTTTAACACCAAACTGCTCATGTTAGCAGCATTCCTGCAGGCTGCAGATTAAACCTGTTCCTCTTCCTATTACTGTAAGAGTTCACAGCTTCACATATTTGAGCCACTGAAGACGTTTTCCTTCCAGGATTATTAAACTGATTCTGGTTCTGGAGCTCTGCTGGTTAATTAAACTGACCTAGGAGCCCTTTATCACCTGGTCTAACTCTACAGATGAGTCGATCACGTGCTGGTGGAACCGCCCCACCGTCGAGTCCGTCTGTGGGACGGTTCCAGGATCTGGTGGAATCCTTCAGCTCAGGTGATCTCGTCTTATCCGTCCTAACTCTGAGCCTCTCTGCTGCACAGGGTCGGTCCACATCGTCGGCCTGGAGGGAGAAGTGAAGAGCAGCAGACCTCACGAGACCACCTTCTCCCACGAAGTCGAGTCTATAGGTGAGAACACGCAGCCGCTGAAACAGCAGCTCCAGCCGATTAGATCCCGCCGCTGACTGTGCGTTTCTGATCAGTGTACCTCGAGGACACGCTGCTGTCGGTTTGGCGTCACGGCTGGCAGAGGAGAGGGCTCGCTTCCTCCGAGGTGCTGGAGGAGATCACCGACCACCGGAAGATCTTCAGACTGGTGCAGTCAGACAGGTACCTGCTGATGGTTTCTGGGCTCAGAGAGGCTGTTTGTGGTCGTCGGGTCAGGGTCCGGGTTTGTCCTGCATGCTGCTAAACGAGACGCTGACATGCTGATCCTGAACACACCCAGTGGTTACAATCGTATTTTAGCATGTTAGCAATGAAAGTCTTGGTGTCAAACTCAGCAGAGCAACAGCAGCATTAGTACGTCTGCTGATGACACCACAGTCATGGAGACGGACTGCAGGGCCGAGGTGTCAGGAAAACAATGTCTCCTTGAACACCAACAAAACCGAGGAGATGATTGTCGACCCGAGGAGGAGGGAGGTGCTGCATTCACATCAGCGACACTGAGGTGGAGAGGGTGGAAACGCTCAGATTCCTCGGCACACACACACTATATCGCCAAAAGTATTCGCTCACCTGCCTTGACTCACATATGAACTTTAGGGACATCCCATTCTTCATCCATAGGGTTCAATATGATGTCAGTCCACCCTTTGCAGCTAGAACAGTGTCAGCTCTTCTGGGAAGGCTGTCCACCAGGTGTAGGAGTGTGTTTATGGGGATTTTTAACCTTTCTTCCAGAAGCATATTTGTGAGGTCACACACTGATGTTAGACCAGAAGGCCTGGCTCTCAGTCTCTAATTCATCCCAAAGGTCTTCTATCGGGTTGAGGTCAGGACTCTGTGCAGGCCAGTCAAGTTCTTCCACACCAGACTCACCATCCATGTCTTTATGGACCTGGCTTTGTGCACCTTCATGCTGGAAGAGGAAGGGGCCATCTCCAAACTGTTCCCACGACGTTGGGAGCATGGAATTGTCCAAAATCTCTTGGCATGCTGAAGCATTCAGAGTTCCTTTCACTGGGACTGAGGGGCCAAGCCCAGCTCCTGAGAAACAGCCCCACACCATAATCCCCCTCCACCAAACTTTACACTTTGCACAATGCAGTCAGACAAGTACCGTTCTCCTGGCAGCCACCAAACCTAGACTCGTCCATCAGATGTCCAGATGGAGAAGCATGATTCGTTACTCCAGAGAACGTGTCTCCATCGCTCTAGAGTCCAGTGGCAGCGTGCTTCACACCACTGCATCCGACGCTGTGCATTGCACTTGGTGATTAATAGCTTGGATGCAGCTGCTCTAGTATGGAAACCCATTCCATGAAGCTGTCTGCACACTGTTCTTGAGCTAATCTGAAGGCCACATGAAGTTTGGAGGTCTGTAGCGATTGACTCTGCAGAAAGTTGGTGACCTCTGCTCCCTATGAGCCTCAGCATCCACCAACCCGCTCAGTCGTGGCTGAGTTGCTGTTGTTCCAAATCACTTCCACTTTGTTATAATACACTTGACAGTTGACTGTGGAATATGTAGGAGCAGGAAATTTCACGACTGGATTTGTTGCACTGGTGGCATCCTATCCCAGTACCACGCTGGAGTTCACTGAGCTCCTAAGAGGGACCGAGTCTTTCCCAGATGTTTGTAGAAACAGTCTGCGTGCCTTGGTGCTTGATTTTATACACCTGTGGCCATGGGAGTGATTGGAACACATGATTTGGATTATTTGGATGAGTGAGTGAATACTTCTGGCAATATAGTGTATCAGCAGTGAACTCACAACATTAAAGAACTCACAAAGACAGCACACAAACGGCTGTACATCCTCAGGAGGCTGAGGAAATTTGGGATGCCTCCTGAAATCCTCGGCAACTTCTACAGAGGTGCAGTCGAGGCTGTGCTCGCCAGCGCCATCACTGTGTGGCATGGGAACTGCTCCCTGCAGGACAGGAAGGCCCTCCAACGTGAAATAAAAACTGCACATAACATGTGTGGAGTGGCCTTCCCGTCGCTGCAGGACATCTATAGGACCTAAACCTGGGAACGTTTAACGTCAGATAGTGAGAAGAAAAGGTTCCGTGTCTTTTTATACAGTGTTCTGGTTTCAGCTGCACATAACACGGATTCAGACCTCCAGGATATGATATGAAACAACCCTAAACAGTCGATCCAGTCAGGTTCTGTTTATTCTTCTTATTGTTCTGTTACTCTCAGGCTCCTACATGTTTGATTCTCAAGGATTCTCAAGTTGAAGAAAACAAACAAACATTTAAACACGTACTTCTGATCCACCAACATGTGATTTTTGAGCACGTTTAAGCCTCATCAGTGTTTGACATGTGACCTTCTCTCAGCAGGATGGTCGTCCTGGAAACGCATCCTACCGAGGACCAGTCGGCTCCGTCCAACATGTCCAGCCTGGCCGTCCTGGAGACGGCCGAGAACTACGTCATGCTGCCCTGAGCTGAGCACCGTGGGACACTTCCACCAGGACGAGGACAGACTTCTAACATTTGTCGCGGGAGCGTCGTCATGGAGACGTCAGCCGTGATGCTGGAGGATTGTCGCGTTGCTGCCTTCGTCCCTCCGTCCGGGACAGCGCTCTTATTTATGCTACTTTGGTTTGTGGAGAACCCCGACAGCTGAGAACACAACTCCTCCAACACTAAGAGGAGCCTCTGCTGTCCGCCGCCTGCAGGGACTCGGCTTGAAACGGTGAATCCTGCAGCCGCACCGACGCTCCGCTGTGTGTTTGTGACCTGAGCTTGTTTGTCAGTGTTGGATCAGCGTTACACACGTTTTACTGCTGTTACACTGTAATAAAGTGAATTAACACAACCAGAGGCGAGCGTGTTGGTCTTGGAGGGGAGGCGGGGCACAGCAGGTAACGATGGTTCATCAGGTCGTCTCCAGAAGACTGTAGAAGATGTGATTTTCTGGAAAATGTTTACAGATTTTCCCTGTTTTGTTAAAT